GTGAGTAGTGGTGAGGAAAACGGTTTGGTTCATGAATTCGTTTTTACAGTTTCAAAAATCGTGTGGACATCTATGACTGACATTTTGCAACCCAACTTTCTCATGAGTTCATCGATTGAGCTTCACGCAATCGCGTACATATCTTAAACAGAATAGCACTATTTTTTGAATTCTTATCGAACTGAGTAGCGCCGTTTTTTGATAAGCATGGTTTCTTCAATACAATATCATTCTAACAACAGTTTTTGGAAAAACTTTTTTCCTTTTTTTCCATAGTATCAATGGTTTCAGGTCACTGAGACAGAGCGAGGTGATCAATAGGACGTCCCATTCTTAACAAGAATAGATATTTCAAATTTAAAAATAATTAAAATCTTTACAAGCAAATTAGCATTAAAGCAGGATTAGTGGACGAAAAATGAAAATTTCAAAAAAAAAAGTTAAAAATCATAAAAAAAATATTCTGAAATTCGTACCGGATGACTGGAAAACTGTGGACTCTGCGACACCATTGAACTATTGCTATGTGGTGTGTGCATTAGGGATGAGTTGTTCATTTGATGGGTGTTATTCACTGGTGATTGATATGAGTTGATTGGGAATTGCTGTTGCTGTACATTTTGTGGAGATGACTGGTGTTGTGGTTGTTGTTGGGGGAGATGCGATAAGGGTTGGGACATTGACATGGATCCTGGAAATATTGGTTGATAATGGGTATTTGACAGAGTTGTATGGAATGATTTTCCGGGATCGTAGGGGAAAAAATGCCTTTTTCAGAAAAACCGCCCTAAAAAAATTCCGGATTCTGTGAAAATTCCGTAGTCCAGTCAAAATTCTGGAATATCGGCCACATCCCGGAACTGGAATTTTTCAGAGGAAATTCCGGAATCCAGACGGAATTACGGAAACCGTATCGAATTCCGAAACTCACACAAAATTCCGGAATTTAGAAAAAAATCAGGAAACCAGATGAAATTCCGGAACTCGGATCGAATTCTGAAAATCATATCATATTCCAGAACTCGGACCGGATTCCGGAGACTATATCAAACTAAGGAACTGAAAAAAAATTACGGAGTCCAGTCGAAACTCCAAAACTCAGAGCAAAATAGCTCGGGCCGAATTCTGGAATTCTGTCCAAATTCCGAAAACCAAATTCTGGAAACCAGATAAAATCCCGGAATCCAAAATCGAAAAATCATTCCGTCACAACTCTGCTATCTAGAATTAAATCCCACTTTTGTTTGGCTCTCTTAGCTCGACATCCGGATAGTACATGTTACCAGATGAGGAGGTACTTGGCAGTCGTGGTTGTTGTTGTTGCATTTGGTTCACTTGGTTCATCTGACCCATCTGATTCATCTGATGATTGATGACTGAAGAATTCTGAAGTCGTTGGTTCATCGGACTAGAATTGAAGGTAGGCTGTTGTTGTGGAAATTGATTTTGTTGTTGCTGCTGCTGCTGCTGCTGCTGTTGGTGAGAAGGCATCATAGGGTCCTGGTAACTTTGGGAGGAAGATGACGGGAAGAAATGTTGGGTGGTGGGCGTGGTGGGAGCTGAAACTTGTATTTGGTTCATGCGCCTTTAAAGTCCAGCTGAACTGCTATGGTGGTGATCAACTGCTTTGTTGCAACTGCTATTGTCTCAACTGCTATTATTGGCTCTTCTGCTATGGATCAAATGGTATTTTCGCCACTTTTGCTTTCTCAACTGCTATAACCATAGCAGTTGATCCATAGGCTATAGCAATTGATCCATAGCAAAAGAGCCAATTATAGCAGGTGAGACACAAACAGTTATAACATAGCAGTTGATCACCCCCATAGCAGTTGAGAAATAGCAGTTGAGTATTTTCCCAAGTATGTTACTCACCAATATACGGCGACCCATTTCCCTGCATGTTGACGACAATCTGTTGATGTTGTGAAGCACTCGGACTCCCTAAATCCCGTTCTCTTTTCATATCAG